TTATGGGCTTAAGAAAATAATATAATAAAATATGAATTATTACTAATACCATCCCTTAATTCATATTCTATCAAAACTTGTAACACCAATTCCATCCCTTAATCTGAGAAATTGATCAGTCTTGATAGCTTTCGTCAGAACATCTGCCAACTGCTTCTGAGTGCTGCAGTGTACAACTTCTAACACTCCACTCTGAACTTGACGTCTCAGAAAATGATACTTGGTCTCAATATGCTTGCTTCTCCCATGCAGCACTGGGTTTCTGGCAAGGTTGATTGCAGACTTGTTGTCAATCATTAACTTCAGAGGTTTGTCTACCTTGATCTTCAGATCCTGCAACAGATTCAGAATCCACACAACTTGGCATGCAGTAACAACACCTGCAATGTATTCAGCTTCACAGGTTGACAACGCCACAACAGGTTGCTTCTTGGAACACCAAGAAATGGGACCTCCCAGAAATTTGAACAAGTACCCAGATGTACTTCTTCTGTCAACTCTGTCTCCACACCAATCAGAGTCTGAATAACTCAGAAGTTCTGACTCATTATTTCCTCCAGAGGGAAATAACACTCCATACTTCAGAGTTCCTTTGATATACCTCAGAATCCTGACAGCAGCTTGGTAATGGGACCACTTAGGTTTACTCATGAACCTACTAACCATCCCAACTGAGTAGCAAATATCAGGTCTGGTATTGCACAGATACCTCAGAGAACCAACCAACTGTTTGAAGGTTGTAGCATCCACATCCTTTCCTTCAGAGTCTGAATCCAGTTTCTGATTTGTATCAGAAGGTGTGACAGCCATCTTACAATTCTTCAGATCAAATCTCTTCAGAAGTTCTAATTCATACTTGAGCTGATGCAAAATGATACCTTTCTCAGAATATCTGAACTCCATCCCTAGAAAGTATGTCATTTTGCCTAGATCAGTCATTTCAAATTCATTCATTAGAACCTTCTTGAACTTGGTTATCTCCTGTTCAGAACTTCCAGTCAGCAGTATATCATCAACATATAAACATACCAGAGTCATATTGCCTTCAGAAGTATGCTGAACATAGACACCGTACTCCATCTCACATTTCTGAAAGCCTTGCTTCTTGAAAAATGAATCAATCTTCTGATTCCAAGCTCTAGGCGCTTGTTTCAATCCATATAGAGCTTTGTATAATCTGTACACCATCCCTTCCTGATTCTTTTTCACAAATCCAGGAGGTTGTGACACGTAAACTTCTTCTTCTAATGGACCATTCAGAAATGCAGATTTTACATCTAAATGCATCAGAGGCCAATTCCTGTTAGCAGCTATTGCAATTACCATTCTGATTGTTTCATGTCTTGCTACAGGTGCAGACACTTCAGAATAATCCAGCCCAGGTTTCTGTAGAAATCCTCTGGCTACCAACCTTGCTTTATGTTTGCCAATTGAGCCATTTGGCTTTAACTTCTGCTTGAAAACCCATCTGGCGCTGATGGCTTTCTTGTCTTTTGGAAGTTCTGTCAGCTTCCAAGTCTTGTTTCTCTCTATAGCATCAAGTTCTTCTTTCATGGCCTTCAGCCAGAGCTTCTGCTTAAGAGCCTCCTCTGTACTTATAGGTTCAGAGTCTACTAACATGGCACACTGAATAACTTCTCCTTCAGAGTCTACTTCAGTGTCTTGCAGCATGTCAAATTCTGCAAATCTTCTGGGAACGCTTCTGATTCTTTGTGGTCTCTGAACTTGTTCAGAGTCTTGAGCTTCAGAGTTTCTAGCTTCAGATGATTGACCTCCAGAGCTTTGACCATCTTCAGAGTCTGGCATATTTCCAGAGTCTGAATTGCCACCAAGATCTGGATTGCCATCAGAGTCTGAATCATCAGAGTCTGGGTCATCTGGGTCACCTTCATCTTCTGAGTCTTCTTCAGAGTTTGAATCAGTATCAGAGTCAGAATCAACTTCAGAGTTTACTTCAACTTCAGAAGTTCTTAACTCTGACCTTTCTTCAGAGGTTCTAACATCAGAATCAGATTGAGACTTATCCCAATTCCAAACTTCTGATTCCTTCACAATCACATCTCTACTGAATTCAATTTTATTGGTTTCTGGACAATAGAGCTTGTATGCACCTGTACTGTGGTACCCTATCAGAATCATCACTTTGCTTCTATCATCCAGCTTTTGTCTTCTGGCTTCTGGAACATGTTTATAGCAAACAGAACCAAATACCTTCAGATGACTAACACTTTGCTTGTCTCCAGTCCACTTCTGCATAGGAACTATTTCCTTCAACTTCTTCGTAGGACATCTGTTGAGTACATACGTTGCAGTGGCAACAACTTCTCCCCAGAGCTTCTGAGGAAGCTTCTTCTCCTTTAGCATGCTTCTCACCATATCAAGCAAAGTACGGTTTCTTCTTTCAGCAAGACCATTGTGTTGAGGGGTATAAGGAGCAGTAACCTCATGCTCAATTCCATTCTCCTCACAGAACTTCTGGAACTCTTTGGAGTTATACTCACCTCCACCATCAGTTCTAAGAATCTTCAACTTCTGACCACTCTGATTCTCAGCCTTCATTCTGAACTTCTTGAATTCATCAAACACCTCGTGTTTGAACTTAATAAGGGATACCCATGTCATTCTTGTGAATTCATCAACAAACAACACAAAGTATTTATTCCCTCCAATTGATGCTACTGGAAATGGACCACACACATCAGAATGTACAACTCCCAAGGCATGTTTTGCTCTTGGAGCAACTTCTGACGCAAATGGCAAACGTGGTTGTTTTCCTTCCATGCAAACTTTGCATGACTTCTCAGGCTTCTTAATTGCAGGAATTCCATGTACCAGCTTCTTTGAATTCAGATGTTTTAGGCTTCTGAAATTCAAATGACCAAATCTTCTGTGCCATAGCTCACTCTCCTTCTCAGCACATGTTGCACTAAGACATTCTGAGTCTGCAGTTCTGACATTCACCTTGAATGTTCTATTCCTTCCCTGTTCTGACTCCATAATCAACTTCTGATTGCAGTCATACAACTTCAGAAGATTATCTTTCATGGTAACTGAAAAACCTTTCTCAATTAATTGTCCCACACTCATCAGATTGCTTCTGATGCCAGGTACATACCACACGTTCTGAATCAATGCTGTTTTCCCATTGTTCAGAGTCACTCTGACATTTCCCATACCTTCTGCATTAAGATATTTGTCATCAGCACATCTGATCTTTGTCCTCTTTTCAGAGTCAAAGTCAACCAGTCATTTCTTGTTTCCAGTAAGATGATTTGAACAGCCAGTGTCCATATACCACCAGTCTGTCAGATCATCAGATTCAGAGGCCATCAATAGCACAGATTCGTCATCAGAACTTCTGGCTATATTTGCTTCTTCTGATTTCTTCTCCTTGTTTGACCAACAATCTCTAGCAAAGTGACCAAACTTCTTACAACAGTAACATTGGATCTTCTTCTTGTCATACTTCTCTTTTCCCTTCTGAGCATTCTTTTGCCTATCAGAGATTGAGCTTTCTGACTTCAGACCACCATCAGATCTTCTCTTGGCTTCTGACTGCTTCTGATACCTCCTATCAGAAGTTGCTTTCAGAGCCTGCTGTTCTACTTCCCTTTCAGAAGTTCTCTCAGTCAAACGCAACTCTTGCGCTTCTAAACTGCTCTGCAGCTCTTCAATTCTCATTGTGCTCAGATCTTTGGAATGTTCTATTGCTACCACAATGTAATCAAATTGAGGAGTAAGGGATCTCAACACTTTCTCCATGATTGTTTCTTCAGAAAGAGTTTCTCCACATGCCTTCATCTCATTAGTGATCAGAATCACTCTGGAGATGTATTCAGAAACTTTCTCATTATTTTTCATGTTGAGATTCTCATATTGCTTTCTCAAGGACTGAAGCTTCACCTTCTTCACTGATGCGTCACCACCATAACATCTCACCAGTGTGTCCCACGCAGCCTTTGCTGTTGTTGAATCTGCAATCTTCTCAAACACATTTACATCCACACATTGATGAATGAAGAACAATGCTTTCTGATCCTTCTTCCTTACTTCCTTCTGCGCGTTTTTCTGTTCATCAGTTGCATCTGCTGCTACTGGAACATAACCATCAGTGACAAGATCCAGAACATCTTGAGCACCAAACAGTACACGCATTTGGATCATCCAACGATTCCAATTTTTACCGTCAAATACTGGAAGTTTGGTGTTCATGTTGCCGTTTCCGTTCATCTTCTACTTTGCACAATACACTCAGAGTTTTCTCACACAGTGTTTCCCAACCCACAGAATTAAAAAAAAAAATTCTGATCAGATTTTGTTCAGGATTCAACAAGAATATGAGAAACAAAATCAAACACACAAGACCTCACGTTCACTCGTGTTTCCCGTGTTTCCCAATGAATCTGAACCGGAGCTATAGATACCAATTGTTGGTGCAAAGATAGAATAAATGATGAAAATAGAGAAATATTCTATTAAAGAGAATGACGGCAGAAGAAACAGGATTAAGAGTTACAATGATTGTCACCCTATTTATAAGCTAAAACTAGGGTTACTAGAATAAGATAAAATACTAAAATACCCTCTAACAAACTTATGGGCTTAAGAAAATAATATAATAAAATATGAATTATTACTAATAGCTATTTGGTGTTTGTACTTCAAAGTTTTCAATTTAAGGGATGGAGTTTCAAAGTTTAACTCTTATTAAATTGGATGTGTGTCTGGAACATCAATTTAAGGGAGGGATTGTTGAGGAAATTTAATAATTTGCACGTTTGGGTTGTCCTCGTTTTTAGGAGTGTCAGGAATAAAGCTTTCAGTTATGTATTAGCCTATTTATAGGTTGTTCGTTAATCAATGAAATACGAGAAAAGTATACCCTCTCCTTACTACTGTTATCAGTTATTGCACTAACTAACATGCACAGAAAATGGGTGGCTAAAATATGTATCTTGTTCAAAAAATTTCTAGAACTTCCATAAACATGTCTCTGGTTCCTATTTTTCTATGATATCATAAATACTCTCAACAAGGTGAAGCAAGAATCCATCTGCACCATTCCTGGCCACCAGAGAAACTGATACAGGAAGATCATTATACACCCCTAGCGGTATGCTTACCTGCAAAAAGTGTTAGAGAAAAGAAAATCATATTTAAATGACGAAGAAACATGAGTTTAAGTGTTTCATAAACACGCACAAGGAACAACCTGGCAAAATCCAGAAACTCCAACGATGGACAGCAGGCTAAAAGCTCTTGCGCGAAAAATCTCTAATTCAGATGAATTTGTTTGTAGTTTAGGCGGAGGCCCTGGAACTGTCGGGATCACAAGAACACCGAAATCCTGAAATTTTTACACAAACTGTAAACCTGATTTATAGACAAACAATGCATGCCAAGGATGTGTGAAAGAGAAAAAGAATACCCCAAGAAGAGAAGTAAGAGCATCACACAACTCCCCTTTTACAGAATGACAGATATCAATATCTTTCTCTGTTGTGCTCAGAGCATCTGATACACGTTCTGAAATTCCGGGACCTAAATCAGGTTTGACTGCATTGATCCATTCACTGTGGTTATTCTTAAATTCATACCTATGTCACAAATAGTAAAACAAGAAAGGATTCAAATTTTAACTAAAGGAAGTATCCACAATATCTAGAAGATTAGGGATGGAGTAGTGAGCTATACCTCTGAAGCAATCGCATCGCGCTTGAAAGTGCAGCCAGTGATGGGATATTGTATACTTGATTTGTGTTTTCTTCACTCATGAAATGTTTCAAACCCGGAACTTTGGCCTTCACATATTCACCAAGGATTTCACGCCTTAATACATCATCTGCAGCCGTGGATAGATACATCAACAAAACTGATCAGTTTAAATAAAATTGGCCGAAACAACATATAAATATTCTGAATTGATATCGAACATTTACCTCCGTACAACTTCTGTACTGCTTTGATGACAGTCTGTGGAACTACATCGTAAGGAATGCTTGAGAGCTGAAAACAATCCTCTGCAATGATAACCTGAGTAGGCTTAACAGGTGTGACCTGTGGAGATTGCAAAAGTACGTGTCCAACTCTGCTTAAAATCTTTGGATCCCTAGCAAACCACCCTAGATGTGAATAAGAGAATAATAAAATCAATCTAGAGAATAAGGGCTCAACAATTTCTGAAACTATATTTTCAAGATCACTAGATATGCTCCATGTAACTACCAAGATTGTGGAATATTACCTACAGTATCAAAACTTTGTGCCATAGGAACAACTCCTGATTTTGAGATAGCACCGCGAGAAGGACGGAAACCGAAAATCCCACAATATGATGCGGGCACCCTTACACTTCCTCCTGTATCAGTTCCTATAATTTTAACAAAAAGTTTAGATTATTAATCTCATGAAATGGAAGAGTGTCCTACCTTTAAAGGAAAAACATAACAGTACTTCTAATTATCAACTAAATGGGTCTCAAAATAGCTCATGGAATGGAAGAATGACTGACCTAAAGAGAAATCAACAAGCTTTGCACCAACTGCAACAGCAGAACCACTAGAAGATCCTCCTGGAACTCGGTCTTCTGCACAAGGATTTCTGGGTGTTCCATAGTGTATATTTTCTCCGTTTATACTGTCAAAGTAGAGTACCTTGTTATATAACTAACATAAGTAACATGTTGAATATATGCATATGCCCGACAACAAAAAATACAAATAATCAGAATCATATTTTACCTAATAAACAAACTCCTATAGACAATATTGTAAGTAAAATAAGCAAATATACACGTATACACCCTTGTAATTAGATTCAAAGTGATTCATAAACCTGTAAGCCATTTCATCCATGATAGTTTTACCAACGCAAGTGGCACCAGCACTAAGGAGAGCCAGAACTGTTGGAGCAGTAGAAGTAGCAACCTCATGAGTCTTTGCCCAATCAGGATTCCCAAATCCAGCTACATGCCCTTTCACGTCAAATCTGTTTGACAAAACCAAACAAAAACATCCATGATGTATGGATTCAAATACACGAGTTAATTATGAGTTCACTTTGAAAGCAGGAAAACTTTGATACTGTGAATTTTATGAAAGTGATGCGGTTTACTTACATGTCTTTGACTGCAAAGGTGAGCGAATTCAAAGGAAGATCAGTGGAAGAAGACGATGGTGGCAAAATGAATTTCTCCATGAATGCTCCATAATCTGAGGCTGTTCCCATGTCTGTGCAAAGCTACTGTATTACGTTTACAACCACCCACGGATGATAACAGCAGCAGCTCTTCACTGGTTTTGTGAGTCATAAAAAAAACTTACAAGGATTGATTAAGGAGATTCTCATGTCAGTAGCAGTTTCACTGTTGGTATGATTATTTTGAAGATAGAGACAAACAAAATTTTGATTGGCCTATCCAAAAGTGTGACACAACCACCTTTCAAGTTTTTTGTCCTTCTCTTGGTATCCAACAAAGATATTGCATTTTTTATTCTTTTCATATCATTGTTTAATTCACTCTGTTTTTTTAAACTCATCTTCACTGTTTAAAATTTTCCCAACACTTAGTTTTCTCGATATTTACTTAACCATGTCATTTATTTTATTGTCCAATTTTACATAGTTATGCTTCAGTTTCTTATACGGTCATCATAGAGATAAGACTTAAATATTGCTGGTAAAGAGTTTTAGATAATTCTCATCTTATAAGCAAATTTTGTGTAGTTGAAATAAGTCCAAAATCTAAGCTGGTAAAAGCCTAAAGAATCAAGCTTTTGATATTCCATGGTGGAAAATGAATCTTCCTACATAAAATCTAGATAATGAAAACTGTATACAACTTCATGACTGTGGATTAAGATTTGCACTGTAGCTATAAAGATTAAAACTCACAATAGTGCTCTTTGATATGTGTAAAATTTGAGGAGCAATCACATTATTCAAGAATTACAACAAACAAATGAGGATAAAAATAGAAAAAGCGGAATCTACTCATTTCCATCAGAGTCGTCATCAAATATGTACAGATATGGAATCACAGTAGAGCGATCAATCAATTCAGTTTGAGAAACTTCAGTGTTTTCCCCAGGTGAGCTCCAACCTAATCGTTGAATATAAACTGCGTCATAAGCTTCAATATTCAATCCTGAAGCAAGAAATAGTTGAATCTCATACACAAATCTGTCTGTTCTTGCTCCCAGAAAAGGCCTGGCTGCTTCAGAGACCGACATCGTGAACTCTTCCTGTTTCTTTTCAGGTTCTTTTATGTGTGGCTTCTGTTCTTTACTGTTAGAGAAATAACAGTAACCAGAACATCATTCTTTGTCATACTCATATGAGATAATGTTACATCAACTTAAAATGCATGAAGAAACTTACCTTGTCCATAATGGTTTTACTACACCAGAGATATGGTGCACAATGATGTCAACATCCTCTTCCTAAAGATTTTAAGCAAAAGGAGACATGAGTTGAGAATAAGAGACATTTCAGATTGCATTATTGATAAGAGCACTTAAGAAATTGTTCAGGAGAGCTTATAGAAATAGCTTATGACATGCTCATGAGTTGTTTTCAACTTATTTTCATAGGCTCTCCATGTTAGCCTATAAAAATAACCTATGACTTATATGAAAAAAATTGACTTTATTGTATCTTTTGTTATAGACAAATAGAAAAACCTAATACATAAAGACATACATAATAAGTGCTTAATTAAGTTGTTTATCCAAATAGGGCCTAAACGTACAACTTATGAAAGAAAACTATAAGGAAATTTATTAACACATTGCATACAACAGTGCTAAAGAAAACGCAACATAATGTAGTTAGTAGATAAAAACGCATTGATAAGGATGGGAATCATTTACTGTGGAATAAACCATCAATTTAGTCCCTAAACTATCATTCTCTCCAACTTAATCCCTAAGCTATAAAAATATGATAAATAGTTCACAAGCTAAATGAAATCCATCAATTAGTCTTTTACAAACAACCAAGTCTTATCTCACTAAGTGGAGTTGGCTACATGGATCAACTTTCGCCATAATGTTGTATTCAGGATCATGCTTCGATCTAAATCGTTAATCTAGAGATCTTTATTAATAAATTTTCTTATAATTTTTCTAGGTCTTCCTCTACTTGTAAATATTTGACTCCTCTCTATCTAATCTTCTTTCCTTACCACAGAATTTACAGGTCTTCTCTCAACATGCTCAAACCACCCAAGCCTATTTTCTACCATCTTTTCTACTATAGGTGTTACCCCAACACTCTCTCTAACACTGTCATTTAAAATCGTATCATGTCTAGTCTTACCAACCATCTAACGTAACAATTTAGTCCTTCAGTTCTTACAATATATGAAAATCCATCAATTTAGTCCTTAAAATCTTAATAGGAGGGATAAAATTGATGGAGCTTATATACTTGAGAGATTACTTATTATATTTACAAAGTATAGATATACTAAATTGGAGAGAGGATGATAGTTTATGGACTAAATTGATGGTTTATTCCACCGTGCGTGGTGACCTGAAAGGGAATGCACAAACAATGCACTAATCTGTAAAATGAACTAACCTGAGTAAGTGCTTGAATTTCCCTTGTTAACCAAGTTTGAAGCGAGTTGTTTGGCTGATTATACTTACGAGATTTCCAATAGAGTGATACATTGAATATGTCTTCTAAGAAACCTAGAATTATAAGTATAATATAACAAACATTCCACAAAAATCAAATGACATACAGATACAGACAACTTTAATGATGAATAAAAAAAAGTGGTAGAATAAAAGACCTTGTTGAGTATAATAGCATTGTAACCTATATCTGTGTGCTTTTGATAACACAAAACTGCACATACAGATTACAAAATGAGAATTCTACTAAAATGTTGAAACTTATATACAAAAACCAATTCACAGAGGCATAGTGAGAGAGACAACAAACCATTCTTGAAGATCGGCATTAATATGATGGCGTTGAAAGGAGGTTCCATCAAGTCCATATATGATAGAAAAGTTATCTGTCTGCATAGCAAAATCAGCATAGTAAATAAGAGAACTATTAATAATAGTAAGAGTTGAAGAGTGAGGGGAATGAGCGAACCTTACAAAGGGGACATTTTACGGAAGAAGGTGGAGTTTGGTGCTTGGAGGAAACGATATTGGTCCAGCGGAGAATGCAATTGAAGCAAAACTTATGCAAACAATGGTCGAGATAGGATTCTTGAATTAAGGGCCCAAGGCAGATTGGGCAAATGGAATCGTGCGAATTGGTTGCCGATTCATCGGCCATCTTTTCGTGCAACTCGCGCTACGTCCTAATATCGTATCCTATTTTGCTTCCTGCTTCTTTACGAATTTGCAATTACAATTAAGTTGCTGTCTGGAGCAGAGAATCGGAGGGATTTTACAAGAGGGCTTTAAATAGAGAGACCTCGGTTTTTTTTTAAACGGCGGTAATTGATATACTGACAAATATCTATGAGAAAATGGAGTTTTACAAACGCTGGTTTTTTTTTAAGCTACAGTCTAAAACTATTTTAATTTAGATGCTTACTATGCTCATCGTTGATATGTTGATATCAGTGTTTTAAAAATCGGACCGGCCGGTCGAACCGGGAACCGGCGTAATAACCGATTTGGTTTACTAGTTCGATCGTATGTGTCATCAAATCGATAAAAACTGAGAAAAACTGGGTTGGGTCGGAAAAAACCGGATTTAGGGTTGGACCGGTTCTAATGTATTTTTTATGTTGCAATTATTTTGTAATTTTGTATTATTTTGTTATGTGTGATATATTTGTTTAAAATTTAAATTTAAATTATGAACTTGTAAATTTGTGATATGATATTTTTAAAAAATTTAAGTACTAGTTATATTTTTTTAGAAACTAAATCATCCGGTTCGACTGGTTTTATATCTATATAATGACAGGTCTATTCAACTGAATTATTCGGTTTAATCCAATTTAGTCATGCGGTTCGACCAGTGACCCAGTGGTTCGACCGATAAACCAGTGACCCAATATCCTCACCGGTTCGATGACCGGTCCAATTTTTAAAACACCGGTTGATATTGCAATGTTGGATTCAGAATTGTGAGTTATTGCCACTTCAGTGCAAAAAATAATAATATTGGTTTTTGGAGTAATTTTGTTCCCTACCTTCCTTCCTTTTTTTTAATAATTGTGTCAAACAACACAAAAATTTAAATAATTTGTACATATTTGTAAAAAAGAAAAAAAAAACACACCATTAGATGCAGTAGAACAACAAATACCGTTCAAAATAGGGTTTTAGTCGTCCATTATTTATATTATTTACTCTTTATTGAATTACTCGTCCATTTATAAAAGTATGGAAAATGATGTGTCCTTATTACAATTTTTTAAAAATTTTAGATCTTAGATATTCATTTATCAATGAGCAAACTTTTGACATAGTCTTGTAAGTTGATATTCACTTGTATTTTCTATTTTATTGTGTTGATTAATAGCATGAATATGATCAATACGGTATTGTGAGGATGCGTGATAATAGAGATGAAGAACTATGTTTACTTACATTTGGCAAATTAGTTGAATGCATGTAAAAATGGTTAAGTGTATGTACGTATTCTGATCATGGCGTTTTACATAAATCAATCATGAAGCTGATATGGATGTCATCTTTGCTTATATGTTTATCTTTGATTTGAACCGTTATAGAAATATAATCTTCAGATCTGGATCTAGGATGATTATATGTTAGGTTTTAGACTCTAGACATAGATTTAGACTTAACATTTGCTTGAGTATCAGTTTTTAATGCTCTGTGTTATTGAGTTGCGTAAGACATCACCAATGAGACAATACGGTTGTTCTCTTGATGTTGCGTTAGACATAACTTTTGTTGTGGGTGATACTTGAGGATATTAGACGAATGATTGATTTGTGTTTAACTGATTAGAAGAATACATGTGTTATCAATTGACGAGATTCAATTCCAACAAGGCTCCGTTTATACTTTAAGTATTTACTTTATATTTTTCGTCTTTATATTTTCTGCCTTTGTCCATTCTATCTTTGATCTTTCAACCATTTTGTAACCATAAATTTAGAAATATAGAGATCGTTGAATGACATTCTTTTCCTTGCACTGACCCCTATGGGGATGATATAAATCCTGGAGGGAATCCTTCCAAATCTAAATGTTTACTTCTTGTCGCTTTACTGCAGTTCGAACAAAATGACGTCGTTGTCGGGGATTGGTGTTTAGATATTGAAGTGCATTGCAATAGTTTCTATATTTTTTAACTTTGTACTGTTGTTTATATTGTATATATATATATATATATATATATATATATATATATATATATATATATATATATATATATATATATATATATATATATATATATATATATATATATATATATATATATATATATATATATATATATATATATATATATATATATATATATATATATATATATATATATATATATATATATATATATTTGTTTCCTTTTATGTTTTCTTAAGTGTTGTTTAGGGATGAATGATGAGAACCTCTTCTAGATTGGTTGTTATTTGTATAAAAGTATCCAATGAAGATTCTTCCATGTTTGAATGGTGATGGTAGGGTGTTGAACATGTGAATGCAAGCAAGGTAAATTGTATCGCTTTATAGAATGTTAGAATGACTTAAGAATTTCGTGCTTTGTGTAAATGTGTATTTTTGTTTCATTTTGCAACTTTGTTTGAATGCTTGTTTCACTTAGATCCAATAGCCACAAATTGTGAGAAACCTTCGTTGTTTATTATATGTTAGGATGACTGATAACTTTGTTTAATTCTTTTGATTCATGCTTTATCTTTTGATTATTGTGATTTTGTGTAAGCATTAGAAATGATCAAGGCAATTGTTTATATGGAGTACAACCGTATCCAAAAAGTAACTTACCCGTGAGTAGTGAGTATTCGTCAACCCCTTTGAGGCTAAACAATTTAGATCTCATTTTAGTGATGAACTTGGTTTATGTACATAATTTGAAAGTTTTGTTCATCATTGAATTTTGTGAGATTCTAAAAAAAATTCTTGAACCTTTGAACATTGTTTTAAATTGATTTTCTTGCCATAAAAATCAAGGAGCATTCACTTGAGGTTTGGTTAAATTCAAGTTAAGGAGAATGAAAAAGAAAATGGTAGGCTACTAAAAATTTTGAAAAAAATTTAAGCAAGCATTGAAAAAAGTGTGAATATGAATGTGAAAAATAAAAGAAAAAGAATATTTGTTTGAAGGAGAAAAATAGAGAATGAAATGATTGTGCAAAAGGAAGTTTGAGAAGGTTTGCAATAGAGAAAAGAAAGTGGTGAATGGAGTTGTGATGTGTAAATAACTTGTATAGTGAATGTTTCTTTTGCATGACAACTTCGATTCAATAGCCTAAGAAATGACCCTTTGTTGTGAAACCTGACCAAACTACAATCTTTCAAGCCCTTAGTGTTCTTTTTGCTTCCATGATTTCATTTATGATTGTTAAATGAATGTATGAATTGGATCGTTATTTGTATTATTTATCAGGTGAGTGAAATTACCCCGCGGTTGCAAACACACTAATTTCTTCATTCTTATTTGAAGAGGAGTGTTAGAGTGATTCAAGCATGAGAATTTAGTTGTTATTTGAAACATTGCATGATATTTGTTTAAGAACTAAATTCTTTATCATTGTTCGATTCTATTAAGTGGTGAGCATTGCTTGTGCATATTCTCATGCTTGACCAAATCCTCTTATTTGAGAAAATCTCTCTTGTTTGAATTTGAACTGTTAATTCTTTCTTGGTTAAATCTTATGCTTGAGCAAATCATCTTGTTTGAGAAAATCTCTCTTGTTTTCACGAGGGATATACTTTGCTTGAGGACAAGTGTAATACCCCAAATTTTGCCCTAAGATTTAGTCAAATCATCTCGCACTCTGTTGCTTTTTTGTATTTAACCAGTTACTAACAAAGTTCGTGTAGGTGGTTGATTTTTGCAGATAAATATCAGGTGGCGCGCTGTTTGGTTCATGAAGGGTAATTTGGTCATTTGTGGGCAGTGGGCTGTTAAGTTGTGAATTTGAGTGGTCGTCGGGGAATGGAGCTGTTTGAGCCCGTCGGTGAGAGTCGAGTGATTTGATCAGAGGTCTTGCTTCGGTTGTTCACTTGATCAGAGGTCTTGCTTTGGTTGATCAGAGCTGTTTGAGTGCGATCATTAGACGGATTGGTTCTTATTCTGATGGGGTTGTTCGCTTGAGTTGTCGGAAGTTTAGTTGAAAACTATGTCGGAGACCGGATTAGTCGGATAATTTGGATGAATCGGGAGTTGATGGAAAGATAGCATTTAGTAGTCTTTGCATTGCATTTTTCTAAATCAAAGTAATAAAAATAATTTCATTTCCTTTAATAATTGTTTTTTATTTCAATTCTTCCAATTTCATTTCATTTTTCAACAACCTGATTTCCATTTTATTAATTTCATTTTTATCTTGTTTTCATTTCATTAAAATAAAATTTTATTTATAGTTTTATTGTTAAAATGATGTTTAATTGTTATTTGTATTGGATTTTTATTTAATAGTAATCTTATTCCATTTTATTATTATTTCACTATAATAAGTAAAAAGAAATAATTTTATTATTATAATAAAATATATATATATATATATATATATATATATATATATATATATATATATATATATATATATATATATATATATATATATATATATATATATATATATATATATATATATATATATATATATATATATATATATATATATATATATATTTACATTTATTATCTACAAAAATATAATCAAAATTACATACAAAATCACAAAAATATAAACAAATAAGATATAGAAATTTATTTTTCCTAATTTTTCTATTCCAACTTCTTCGTCCCGATTCCCCGAGCTTCCGACTTTTTTTCGTACCTGCAAAATAAACATAAGCAAGTAAAAGTATTTCAGTTAGTTTTTGACACCCTTAGAGATATCATCATCGGGTGTCGGGAGGGCAACTGATTCCTCCGAAGCCGGCTCCCAATCCGATCCTCGGCCAATGGCCAAAATCGGCAATTTCCATTCTTACCGAAGGCAACCGAGAAAGAGAAGAGAAAAATGCTTTTAGAATAAGCTGTCTGGCCAAAAAGAGATTATGCAGGAAAAATGCTTATTTGAAAAGCCGGTTTGAGAAAAACATGTTTTAAAAAAGTGATTTATCAAGAAGAAGGTTTGCCCAAACTGGACCTTAACG